ATTCAGATCTGTATTCCAGCTGGGAAGTATATTCATCTAACATTATACTCTGTGTTGGTCACCAAACGGAATGATTATCTCCCCGAATTTACTTCTATTGACTGACTAGCATCGTACTTAATAGAAGAATACTGTCTTTCAGATATTATGCATAAATCAACCTATATCACAGGGAGGACAAATAAAGTGCTTCGAATGACTCATGGAAAAGAAACAATGACGCAATAATACCGAATTCTTGTTTAGCAGTTTCAGGTCGTATGTTGAAATTGTGACAAACTCAAAATCTGAACATGAGGCTTCAGTCTACTAAATAACACTTTGAGCAACTAACTTGGCCTCAGAAGATCCTTCAATGGACTCCGATGAATTCTTAGAAAAACCGGTCAAGAAAATCAGCTTATATACTAACTGGTGGATGTCTTATAACTATGTAAGTTGCATTATCGGTCCGAATATGCAACGATTGGTGCTATCGGTTTGACCTCGTAGCTCAGCTGGTAGAGCGTGCGCTATGCAAAAGGCGTAGGCCATGTTCATGCATGGATTCGAACCCCATCTGAAATTTCCATAATTTCCACGTAATACTATCAATTGATGTTTATTATTCCTGGTGGTCTGTGTTCTTCGAATTGATGTCAAGTTTCGAAATTTAGACTGAACATGTAGCGATATTAGCTGGATTAGTAATATTTAATTTAGAGCTTCAATGAAACTGATTTTTCTACCGTTTAGTGGTTAATTTGAAATTGACTATTTGGTTTGGAACTTCGTCACAAAAATAATGTATCCTATTTTAAACAGTGATTTTCATTGATGCCTCAATTTGTACTATTTGCACCCTCCTATGAGAAATATATAAAATTGTTTAGAAAATGTCTGATACAATTGTGATTTCCGAAAGGGAATAATTCGATTAATGCTCACCAACCAGATAAATCTCGGTATGAACATGATAGAATTTTGAGCAGATTATTATTTGGAACTGGAACCGAATCGTGGCAAAGTGCTTCCGGTAGTTAGGCTTCAAACGCTTGTAGTTAAATTTAACTTCTGAACAGTCTGTGCCCCGTTTTACAATGTAGCTGAATATTGCCCAAAATAGTGACTACTAAGCACCGGAACTTAACGATTATTGGAGCCCCCTTTTTTGCATCCTGGTTATTCTGAACGCATGCACAACTAGTAGACATTCCTTATTCCAAAACTCGTCTAAACAGTAATCGGGAGAATTCTAAAAATAGTGATAAATGCAGTACGATTTCTGTCTGACCTGGTTAGAATGGCACTTTTTGTGGCTTGCACGCGTATGATTCTTATTGTTGTTGCGGTTGAACGCAACCAAGGAGGAGCAGGGTAATCTGATATTGTGATGGTTGTTGACACTGTTCAAGGACATAGCCAAGTGTGAATTGGTTGAGTAATAACAAGGGAGCTAAAACATTGGTATTTGACTATCCTTAATCATGCTCGGAAAAATCCTATGTCGAACCGAAAAGCTCGCAGACTGCTGATAACTCGATTACTTGAGCGTCAGTAGCTTTTTGGCCGTAAGAAAGCGCTTGGAGTAGTAGTTGTCGGATCTGATTGTAGCACGCGGATAGTCATCGCTTCAGTTCTGGCTATAAATATAGTGTCCCGACCCAGGACGCTTTCTACTGGTTCTCGGTTGCGGGGATACCGGAAGTTCAATACTTTCTAGTGAATCCACTCCCTGGACTAATCCTGTATCTGGTTTCCATGAAACAGCCTTAAATATAACTGGTAATAGGTATCATACATGATGTTTCCCATTAGGCTGAGACAGAAACCATATGGTGCTACTTACAAAAAATGCATGGGAAATGAGCTAAAACAAGTAGTTGATCCAAACAGAGGTCAAACAGATAAATGATTTATTCGATTATGATTAAAATTCATCGTGACCCAAACGTTTTCTAGAGTTAAAATGATGAAACGGGATGAAAGAAACCATCCAACAGGGAACTCGTTGTGATATGATTTCAAAAAAAGGACAAACGCGATCTTCCACTAACAATGGGGCAGTGCGAACAGATTTTTACTCTGGGTATATTCGTATATCATTGGAAGAGGCTATCACAAAGGGGTATTTGATCGTAAGATTTACTGGGTTGCTATTTTCAAACTATGCAATACAGCAAATGGAGTAAAAAATCTTTGTCCACTTTTGACAAGCGAAAAATCTATGGTCGTGTGCGTGTTGCATCTCAATAATATGAAGTCCTCGCAACGGTGAAGAAGAACATTGTATTGTATTACGTTGTGTATAACTTACGCAGACACTAGAGCTCACATTTCAGCTGAAAAATCATACATGCCAACCGTCACAGTGCACATAATCAACCGCAGACTAAATTTTTACACACGTGGGGACATTTCATAATCCAAAGTTAAGACAAAGTTCACTCATTGTTCGCTCTTTGTTTGTGAGTAGATGAGCAAGATACTGTATGGGTGAATTGCGGTAAGCGTTGATTCGAGATGAAATTTGACGGAATTGGGAGCGTGTTGAATAATGGAAACGACAACGTGTCAGTTCTGCGTGGAATGGGTGGTCAGGATCTGTGAGAATCCTCCTCGCAAATGTCACACAAGAAGTCAAGTGATACTCTGAAAGCTTTATAGCTAACTCATTCACAGGCATAGAAGAGACACGACTACTAATGGTTAGACCGCGGCGTTAGACTTCAAAATCCTGATTGAGTAAGCCAGAAAAAGTAACTGGGGAACAGTAAGGTAAAAATAACTGACCGGG